GTTTGTCATAAGCACGAGTTTGGCAAAGGCAATCCATCCGAGCTGCCTCAAATCGACGTTAAGACAAGGAAACCTCTGAGACCTTCACGTCAATCGCCGAGATAGAAGCCGTCCGCGCAACTTCGAGGCAAACTAGGCTATCGGGACACGCGATCTTCATCATTGGTGCTTTCATTGATTGTGTTGATCCTGTGTCTTCTTGTTTATTTTTCTTGTGTTTAATTTCATAGATTCCAAAAAAAAAAAAAAATGGCCAAAGAAACGAAGGAGAAGCTCGGTGATTTGGAGGCTAAGATGACTAGCCTAAGCGAGGGGTTGGAAGCTACTAATACAACCATGACGAACAACATGGCTCATCTCGAGCGGTCTTTGCACAACTCGCAACAAACCATGTTGGACGCCTTGAACCATCGAATTGATGAAGTGTTGCATTTTGTTAGACAACCGCCACCAGCACCACCACCACGGGGAAGAGCAAGGGCGCGGTAGAGGGAGTTCGAGTGTGAGAGAGCTGAATACGAAGAGAGGGAAGAAGATTTCAAACGACGCTCGCAAGCCTCGACCAACCAGGAGAGACCGCGGATTGAGAAACCAAGACTAGTGCTATTGACTTTCAGCGGGACGGACCCAGACGTGTGGTTGAACCGGGCCATGCAACATTTCAACCTCAATGAGATACATCGACTCGACTAGGTACGATATGCGGCATATTACCTTGACAGCGAGGAAAACGTCTGATGGAAGTGGCTTTCAAGTGTTTACCAAAATCGAAATGAGAAATTAGGTGGGAAGACTTCGAAAAGGAGCTTATCACGAGGTTCGGGGCATCGGATTACCACAATATGATGAGGCTCTGGCACACATCAAACAGACGACAGACATCCTTCGTGATTACCAGCAGAAGTTCGAACGCATAGCTTGTCGCGTACACAGATGGCCCGAGAGTCCGCTTGTTGGGGCATTCGTCGGAGGGCTAAAATTTGATCTCTCCGCAGAGGTCCAACTAGAGAGGCCAACAACAATGCGAAAAGCTATAGAGGTGGCACGGAGGAGAGACGATAACCTGGCCGCAACACGAAGGGTCGGGTGCAGCGACGTGCGCTTCATCGAACCACGTCGAGTGATTCCAAGCACGCGAGTATCAACCGGAGAACGAGTGGAGGACCATCAAACAATTTCAGGCCCCGACCATCGGAGGTTAAGAATCTATCATTCGAAGAGATGCGGTGAAGACGTGAGAAAGGCCTTTGTTTCAAATGCGAAGAAAAATTCACGCCGGGGCATAAGTGCAAGCAAGCTTACTTGATCCAAGTGGTCGACTCCGACGATGATGAAATAACTCTTGACGAACCCAAACCAGAGGAAGCCGAGGTCGAGACACCTAAGGATGCGGCCGAGATATCGGTCGACGCCATGGCCGAAAGGAAGGGACGAAGAACAATGCGGCTGCCCGCGTGGGTTCGGGACCGACGTATTGTGGTGCTCGTGGACAATGGGTCGTAACATAATTTTATAAACGCCTCGTTGTCTCACAAACTGAAGTTGCCCACTACCAAAGTCGAGCCATTCGAGGTACGGGTCGACCACTTCCCAGGTGGAGAACAGTCAGAGAATCGACCTAAGAATGGTTGAACATAAGAGCCTTCACCAGGATTTCAGAGGAACCTTTACCACATGTGTAGAGGACATGTGGCGCAACATAATTGGTATATGGCGATAGCCACTTCTGACACACACAATGTGCGTGTGTATGGACGGGCAGGCCCGAGCAGCTTTGGGCAGCCAGCTCAGCAAATCCGAGCAGCTCCTAGGCCAGGTATCTCACCCCTATATATAGGGGTGAGCTTTACTTCTTGAACACGATTTTATCCATTTTTACTCTTGAGAATTGAGTAGAACAAACACTAACTTAAGCATTGAAGGCTCTTCACTGGAAAACTCCTCCGGTGTGATAGTTCTTTTCAGGTCGCGGCGTTCTACCAGTGAGGAGGAAGGAATTAAGCAAACCGATTTCTAGCCGATCAGAGTGTTTGACGTTACCAAGGGTACTCCTAATTGAATTCAAATTGAGAATACACTTTATCCATCGAAATATGTTGATGCAACCTTCCTTGTATTTCTTATGTATAGGGAGTATGCCGATTATTGGGCAGAAAAGACAGCTTAGAGGTTGTGATTGAATATTTTTAATCAAACTAAAATGATATAAAAACTCTATGATTAAAAAAAAATTCAACATATAAATTAATATAGACTATGTTTAGTAAGTTAAATCATCACTTATTTAGTTAATTTACAAATTTATTGTTTTAAATATGTTTGGTTTGGATTAGTTTTTTCAAAAAGTTTAACCTATGAAAATAAATTTATTTAGTTAGTTTTTCAAAAAGTTTATTGATTTTATTTTTATTTCTGTGGATTTATCAGCTATGTTACCAAATAATATTATTAGTGTTTCAGCAATAGTCATAAAATATCATCTGTAAACTTAAAATTAAGTTATAAGCTATATCATCAGTTATCAATTAAACAAAACTAATTTGGTCGTGGCCTGTGGCCAAAATGAACTCGATCCAAGTGTCACTTGGCTCCCATTAAAATAAGGATCCGTAGGGCTACGACCAAAGGATACAAAGAAAGTCTTCACTTCCAATAAAGTGAGATCCGCTTGTATGGATACGACGTATAGGTACCCTAGAGCTTTTAGTCTATTATTTATTTTATTGCTCTCTCTTTCTATTCGGCACTGCTTATACAGAAACTGGGATGGGCTCAAACCCAGTTAGAGCCCCATTACATTCCATATTCATCATATATACAACTATTACTATTTATTGCTCTCTTTAGGAACATCATCAATTTTTCAACAGAATACTGATAGATATTCTATTTTTATATTTTTCGTTGCGAAATTACCAATCACTTTCAGTAGAGAGCAAAATTATAGACACTTCCTTAGAAATTTAATTAGAGTTTAGCTTTTACGACAATATCTTTTATAATTAGAGTTTAGCTTTTGTATTTTTCGCTGCAGTTGTCAGCTGTTCCTTNTTGTTGTTTGAACATAAACTTAAGTCAAACATAAGATTTTAATTCCTTGTTCATTGGAATTACAACATAAGTTATAATATTTAGATATGTTGGAATATTGTGATTTTCTTGTAGTGAATCTTAAATAGAACTCCAGCATAAGATTGTATCTGACATGTATGTTATTCATTTTTCCTCAAATGAATGTGATGAATAATAGAGGTGAATTTCATTCTACCAGTGTAGATATTGTCTTTACCAACTTTTTCTTTGCTGGAACAACAAATGTGTATGTGAATGTGTTTGATCCAATGAGGAAAAAGTTCTGACGTGTTACACAAACGTAAGTGAAGCGGAAAAAGAGAGATGACATATCACATTTTATTAGTATTCAGAGGTTCTCACTGGCATCTCAAATGTAAGACAAGTTCATTGCACAACATTGTTGATATGTTTAAATTGGATGCCATTGCCATCTTAAGTTCATAACTCTCAAATCAAATGTAGGGAGGTATGGCTGCTGATTCAGTCATTATACAACATTGTGGATGTATATATATAATAAATCAATGACATTCAGGAGATTAAAAGGCTTTGAAATAACTTTTACATGAAAATTAAAAGGCTTTATTAGGAATAACATATACATGGATGATATCGGAGGTATATATATTTGTAAACATTTAAATTTGGTCAAAGTTGAGAATTATTTCTGGTTTGCCCTCCGTCCTTGTAAATAACGACTTGTGCATCCAATTCCGACACATCAAATCGTCACATTAATATAAATAAATCTAGTTTAACTTTTAATTTTCAATTTCGCACAACTGGACAACACACATTGTTATTTGTTGAAAATATTATCACTGGGCAATAAAACACTTCCTCAAAACTAAAGGTGCTTATAAACAATGTAAACATATATAGGGAATTTTTCTTAAAAAAAATAAAATAAAAAGAAAGCTGAAAAAACATGTACTGTATAAATAAAGTAGAGTTATTGTAGAAGGGCTACAGCTTAATTTGTTTTGATCCATAAATGGGCAGCTCATGTAAGCAAACTCGGATTTGTAATGAAGTTTTTGCCCGAGTAGGGTTTGATATATATCATCTCTCTCTCTCTCTTGGGATATGCAGTGAGGGCTCTGGCACTGCCAAAATATATAAACAAATTCAAAACAATCATATTCCTTGGCCGTGTGGACCATCACAAGATAAACACACACACACACACGCAGCATCATAATTATAGTTCTGATATGCACTCGCTACTTTTTCTTCTCCTCATCATGAAAACCCATTATTGTTAGGGAGACAAAAAAAAAAAATCTTGAAAAAAGAAAAATAAAAAAAAGAAATCTGTGTGCACACGCACTCATAGGTGTACATGCGTGTGCGTGTATCCGTATGTGTGTGAGAGAAAGAGAAGGTTTTTTTTAATGATGATAATCATCATATTTAAAGGTTATCTTACATCACTGTTGTATTCCAAGAGGGGAAGTTAGGCCAAAGCTACTTTCCAAGTCCAAGGCTTTATTGCGCATATATCATCACACACACTCACACACACATATTAATAAATAACTCTGTAATAATATCTAACCGTTTCCTCGTGATTATTCCCCATGTCCATCGCCCCTCAAGTCAACCAAATCCTAACAAACCTTTTATTTATTTTTTTCTTCCTTATAATTTATACTTTCGTTTCCCTCACATCACATGTATTTTTCAACTAACAATAATTACAAACCCTGGACTAAATAAGTTGGCTCTGAAATTTGAAATAAAAAATGAGAAATAATGATTACTAATAATAATAATATTATAGTTGAGATATAGAGAAATTGTAGGTTTGAGTTTGGGCACGAACATTAAATTTGGTTTAATTTCGTAATTAAACATCAGCTACAACAGTAACACACAATAATGATGATATAATATGATAAAAAGATAGAAATACCATTAATCAATCAAAAGAGATGGTGGTGCTGGTGCTGGTGCTGGTGCTGGTGTTGTTGGGATTGGAGTAGTCGGATTTGGCGCTTTAGAAACTTGAGGTAGCGCACGGCCTCGTCAAGCATAGATGCAGTGTCCATCTTGGTGCCTCCCGGGACGAGCCTCTGCAGTATCCTCATCCTCTCGCTAATCCTCTCGCGCCGGTGCCTGGCAGCCACGCTCTGGGGGTCGTCACTGATTCGGACGTTGCGCCGCCTGGGCCGCCGCACGCTGGCAGGGTCGATGTCCACTGGCTGCATTGCTGCTATCTTGAACATCATCTCCTTCATAGCCCCAAGTTCTTCCTCTTCCTCTTCATCTTCGTCTCCTCCTCCAAACACAGGAATATTATTATTATTATTATTATTATTATTATTATTATTATTATTATTATTAGTTATGTTGTTGGTGTAGTAATTAGGGTTGGGCCATGTGGGGAAGGGGAGGTGATGATGCTCGGGAAAGTTGTTTGAGGGATCATTTGAGAGGACTTGCTGCTTCATCTCCATCATCAATACCAACCAATTATCTGCCTTTTTTGACTTCTCACTTCTTTTTAATGTATACAGAAGAGAAAATATATATAGTGTTAGATATTGTGAAATTGAATGGGGGAAGCTTTAATTAGTGGGGAGGTTGACAACCCATCTATCTATCTATCTTTCTATGATTGCAGGCTTTGCAGCTTTTCAAGGCTTTGGTGCATTTAAACAAAGCTATTCTAGAGAGAAGGAGAGAGAGAGAGAAACAGACAAGAGTACGTAATTCCAAAACCAGTTTAGTCTAGTTATATAGATAATGGAAAATAATAATAATAATAATAATAATATATAATAATATAATATATATAGATGGATAAATGAAATAAAAGGGGATCGGAATTCTTAAAAACCAAGTGGGGACCACATCGCGGTTATATGTAGCATTTGAAAATGACCTTTCATCTTTTATCACCCCAGATTGTATTGCTAACAACATTTCTAGGGCTTGGTTTATATCCTAAACACGTTACGCACCTGCGCATCCATACCATCAAGACTATTAATTATGTTTTTATCAAATTACTGTATAACTTGCACACACCACCACGGGCACCATCTATAATTAAATTATCCTAAATTCGATCGACTGTCTAAAATTAGTTAATACTAGTATTTGATCCTGTGCATTTGCACAAATATAAAATATATTTTTGTTTGTATTTATTAATTAGACATGTACTTCTATTATATAAAAAATATTACTTTTTCTTAAGTTATTTTTATCATTCAAAATTAGTTGAGATTTAAATTTTATTTTAATCATACAACATTTACATTAGTAACATGAATAAAATAATTTATATATTTGTGGCATATATTAAGAAAATTAACATAAGGAAAAAAAAAATATTGGTGTTTTTGATTTTTAGAAAAAAAAAATATGTGATAATCATATTTTTCTTCCAACAATGCAACAAAATATAGCGGTTACAGCTCTAAATGTGTTAATCAACTTTAAGTTCCAACATTAACTGTTATACATTTGAATATTTTGCTATCAAATTTAGAATTAATTTAGTAACTAATCCAAAAAATAAATAATAAAAATATATATATTAAGGTGTAACGGTTTTAGCAGATTAGTGCGTAATTAATTAATAAAAATGTAACTTCTTATGAAGGGAAATGAAAATAAGTTTTATTAAATGTTTCATTAAATGCATCAGTTAGTAATTAATATATATAGATTATCAATATAATTAAATAATATCAATCAATCATTCATACACACCATATCAACACAACATTAATTCACTATTCATCCACTCACATTATTTTAACTAACAATCACTCCAAATCATCACTCTCCTACTTTATATCAAATCAATTTTAATTTTTTTATTTTAAATATTTTTTTAATATATCAACTAAGACCTAACTATACCACCCTTTCTAAAATTAACTAAACTAAACCAAAAAAATCCAAACAAAATGGTAAGTAGATTCTCAAAGAAAAGAGCTTGAAATTCTCTCCGAACGCAACAAAAAGAGCTTGAAATTCTCTCCGAAGCCGCAACAAAACTTTTTTTTGGTGGTATAATCGTGCTGTATAGCTACATTAATGGAGAAAGGCATATTTGTGGTTTTAAATAAAAACTTTATAACTCATATAAATAAGACATTGGATTGAATGGAAATGTTTTTGAAAGACAGTAATAGAAATAAACTTTGAACAGATATAACCGTGGAAAAATGGAGACCATAGGAGATATTTATGTACTTTGTATACTTAAAATAAATACAAAAATTAATTAGAGGTGGGTAATATCCATCTGGTTATCTTTATACTACTTTAAAAAATTAATGGGAATGGGAGATATCCAATCTTGCTATTTACTATTTTGGAAAACCTCTAGAACTTAGTAATCCAATCTTATTATTTACGATTTTCAGAAAATCTCTAGAACTTTCAAGTAAGGCTTAGTTGCTTCTTACTCCAAAAAGTTACAATAGTTTGTAACATATCTGTCACATGTTTAATTATTTTCCAGACAGTATCCTAGCCAAAACATGAACCACTATGACAGAACCATGTTACAGTATATTGGTGTGAAATTACAAATAAACAAAGGAAAAAATTGATTTACTTGTAAAATTCTGAACTACGAATTGGAAACCGAAATTATTGATTGAAAAAAGTCTAAAAAGAAAAAAACAATTGAGATTTGACTTTTGAACCAAGAGACTTGTTCGACCAAGACACGGTAACTAATAGTGGTAATCAACAACAGAAGTCTTAAAACTAACCGCACAACTTAGCAAAAAGCGAAAGAACTTTTTATTTACCTTTATCCGCTGGAAATGAGAGGAGATTGAGGGCCTCANTGTTATATTTTATCTACATTAATCAAACATATTTTTTCTCAACAATATAACATATTTTCATAATAAAAGTATCATATATGAAAAAAAATAGCATTATTACGATATCACATTTAAGATTATATTTTTGTTTATTAAACATGATAAATTGACGTGGCTTATAATTAAATTCGCAATATGTTTTTCCTTCTTGTACAACAAATCATGTAATGCAACCGGTCCACCTCAAACCAATCACAGTTCTTCAAACAACTCTCAAAACCATTTCGATTAAGCAAACTCTCTCCTTTTTCACCTTTTTCTATCAGATTTCAAATCTGTTATATTTGTAGTATTGTTGAAACTTTAACCAAAGTTTGATCCTTTTGAATTGACAATAATTCATACATCTTTTAATTTAGAAAATACATTTATAATATGATGATTGATTATAATCAAATACTGACTAAAAACAATTTTACCATGAATATTAACGCAGTACATCAGCATTCAGTATTAGTAAATTAAGAAATAGAAATTATTGCGACGTGTTATACCGGTTGACTAGTTTTACAATCTCTATTGTTAGATCTATTTTGAGATTAAATATGTGTAATTGATATATCGGATCATTATATTGTTTAGTCAAATTAAGTGATCAAATTTTGTAAATTGGCTAAAGAACTTAATTTAAATTGTGGAACGATTAAATTTTAGACACCTGGTAATATTACTATTTGATGACGTAACAAATAATAATATTAAACTTAAGTGCCTAATTATCAAATAATTTAAGTCAAAATTATTAATGGGTGGAATCCCCAAAGTCGTGATAAGTACAAGGAGTCTTTTGGAATTCTTCATAAATTGATAAGAAAAGGATAAAACCGTAAGGTTAAATCCAAATTCGGTATAAACACTCTTGGGATTAAGCGATTTATTTCGCATAAGGTTAAATCCAAATTCTATCAATTGGTATCAGAGTTTCTTCATATTGAACTAGTGCGTGACCCGTGCGATGCACGAGCTGTATTTATTTGAGGAATATTATATTTTAAGAAGTATAAACAAATGAAAGAGTTATAATAGGTAGGCTAATTGTACCATAATTTAATATTCAACAATACAAAAATCATATATTATTAAAGACCCTCTTGTGCACAACATTATGAGTTTGATTATTGAGAAACTCGTCATTCTCAGAAACCAATATCTTCAACCCCCGTTTATTATTTCGCAGGAGCTTTAAAGTGAAGTACGAATGTAGTTTTCTCGATAGGATTCAATGCCGGGATATTTATAATTTATATTTGTGCAGGAAAAGAGTCTGTAATTAATCAAATTCATCTTAAGAATTTTGATTTAGAAAATACTCTTTATATTTTGAAATAAAGTCTACCTAGAAATACGCAATTTAAACACTTGAAAAAAAAAAGATTATCTCTATTTAAAAAATAATAGGCTTTGTTTCGAAAAATAGACATCCTTAAGAATTCAACCAATTTTGAATTCTATGCAGTGTTTCATCTTGTCCGATTTTATGAGAAACAAATCATACGAGAATTTTTTAATTTATAAATGTTGAATTCAAAATTGAATCCGAATTTATCGGAAACAAATCATACGGGAATGGATTTTGACTTTAAATATTTTAAATTCAAATATGACTTTATCGACCTAAAGGGTAATTCAAAATCTGTTGCAATTAGAAAAAAAAAAGATTTAATAGATAATAGATTTGATTTTATGGTTACCTAATGATAAGTAATTTTATAATTTAAATTTGAAATTCGAAATGATACATGTTGAATGCAATCAGATCTTTTTGAATAAATAATAATAAGAAATTTTGAATTCTACAAAATCGTTAAACTCAGCCCAAAATTACCTAAATAAAAATCTCGAAATTCCATCAATTTAGGGTACATTTAAAGCTGACCGAATTTTTTGGCAATAAATTANTTTTTTTTGTTATTATTTTTGGTAAATAGGTTGTCTCTTTGTGTATATATAGATTTTGAAAAAAATCAATTTTTTTTTTTTCAACCAGTATGTGAAATCCCATTGTATGATACGAATCAATCTGGTTGGTTGCTTCCGAATTGGATTTCATGAGATGTGTATTATTAAATTATCAAGCAACTAAAGTTGATTTTTCATGTTCAAAGTTGAAACCGATCATATTGGTGAACTTGAAACTGAATTATTGTTTGGTGTTGGTTCTGTACATGGTCAATTTTAATGAATTATTTGCCATATGTTAAAATAGCTTGGCTTCTGGGTCACCACATGAGAATTCATGTTTAGAGAAAGTGGCCTTAAAAAATAAAAATGAAAAGAAAATTGCTTGTTCCATGTGATTTGTGAGAAATTATGGGCCCAAGTCAAATTACATTTGCATTCGAAATCCATCAGTTTTGCGTGTGAAGTTTTCATTGGCTGTTGGACTTGAATTATTTGCTGTGAATTCATCTATGCACTGTTGTGGTATTTTTCTTTGAGGAAATTGCATGATATACTAACACATTTAAATTATATTACACTTTTTTACCCTTTATATACTTATTTTTAAAATTATTTAAAAAAACTACAAATATTTTTAATTATGTCTAGAATTCAAATTTTAGTAACTTATCTTTTAATTAAGAAAGAAAGATCACGAGAATTTTATTATACTCCAACCTATTCTCACTCTTCCATTCTCCAGCAAATAACAACAGCAATCCAATCAATTCTGCTCCGCCGCGCTCTCCGTCCCCAACCACCCCTCCAACATCTCCTTCGCCACCTTCTCCAACTACGAGAAGCTAGGTCGGATTTTGCCGACTGCACCCGGATCATCAACAACCAGGCCCGATCCGGATCCAAGCATGGCGGAGGCTACCACCCGTCCGACTCCGCCTTCAATTTCTCCGGTGAATGATTCTGGGCCTTCTCTAAGTTTGAAGACCCAAAACCGTGGCACAGCAACATTGTGGGCCCGAATCTGTTATATGGTCCGGGTCATGGGCCCAAATCAATATTCATGCATTCGACAAATTCCCAAGCCCAAACAACCAAACGCAGCCGTCAGCCGGAGGATTTCTGCAGAAGGACACGGAAGAAGCCCCGGCCGGGCTCTTTCAGGGCCGTAGGCCTGGTGGGTCCGCCGTGAGAGACAGGTCCGCATACGGCGAGATGCTGATCGGAAGGAAAAATTCGGTCGCCGGGTTCTTGAAAAATGCAGTGGGGATGCAGGAGGAGAAGGGTGGCGATATGATGGAAAAAACTCCGACGAGCTTGGGTTGGATTGCGACGGCCGCCGTCGATTTATTGGGATTAACGGTGGACAATCATATATGTTGAGTATATGTACAATTTTTGCCCTTTCAATCTTTCTCTTATCTACGTGACAACACATATATGTTGAGTATATGTACAATATATCTATAGTATATATACAGTATATGTAAATCTTAGTTATGTACTGTTATTGTCTTAGTTATGTACAATTAGTTTGTGAATGGATGTTTGTTTTTTTCTATTTTCAGTGTTTTATTCGTAGTTTATGTTGGGTATATCAAAAAATTTTTTTGTTAGAAAACGGAATTTGACANTATATATACTTTTATTTATAAAAGAAAAAAAGAAGAAAAAAAGAGGAAGATATAATTTTTTGATGGAAGACATTTTTTTCATTGCAACATATACTTAATATATACTAACATAAACGCAATATATACCACCTGACAACTGTTTGAATTAAGAAATTCCAGTTGCGCACATATACTGAACATATACTAACATAAACGCAATATATACTACTTGACAGCTGCGTGAATTAAAGAATTCTAGTTGCGCGAATTAAGGAATTAAATGAGTAAGTTATTTATATTCATTTCTCTCTCTTATGAGTCAACTTTTTTTGTATGGTATCTGAAATCAAGTAAATCTCCAATTAATTTAATAGTTGTAGATACATATGCAATTAAATTTATAGTAGTTGTAAAATTGCAAATAAATCAAAATCTAGTAGGATAGATGAAACTTTCCCTTTTTCTTTTATGAATTTAGATTGGGTATAAAGAGCGATTTAGGACCCATTTAAGGTTTGATAGCTGGTATTGAGATAAATATTCAGTACTTCGTGATAATTTAAATGGATTGATTGAAACAAAATATTGGCAAAGTGAACTTTTTGTGTAGATTGATTCATTTAAATACTAAAAATTGTTGTATTTTTGTAATTCATGTGTGTGTTGATAAGCCCAAAGATAAATTGACACATGGCTGAATTACAAACATAGTTGTGATAATATATTTTTGACAATTATAAAGTTTTTTAAGTGAACAACAATTCTATCCAAAGATTGTTTTATTGTTTGATAGAAATTATTGTCAATATTTGATTATTACAACAAGAGTACCACTTACAATTAATATTACTATCCAAAGATTTGGTATTAATTAATTTTGTGTTTGGTATCTTGCTATAAGTTTAAACCATGTTTGGTTTAAATGATTAACCATGGATAATAATGTGAGTATCTTTGTTTATTATTCTCTTGAGGTTCTTCATCTATGGTATCTACTAACTATCCAGTCCCACACAATTTGGGGACAACTTTAAGAATTGGAAAGAATCAATTCTGATTCATTTGGGCTGTATGGATCTAGACTTGTTATTAAGGATAGACTAACCTGCTTCTCTTATGGAGAACAACACTGCCGAGGAAAAACAATGTTTTGAGAAGCGGGAAAGCCTTAATCGCCTTAGTTTTATGATCATTAAGAAAAGCATTCCAGAAATCTTTCTGGGAACGATATCTGATGATATCACTCAGGCTAAAGAGTTACTTGTTGAGATTACCAAAAGCGATAAGGCGAAAGTGAGTACTCTTCTATAGATTCTCATCACCATGAGGTATCTCGACAAAGGCAACATAAAAGAGTACATCCTCAAGATGTCCAATATTGCTTCTAAGTTGAGGGCACTAAAGTTAGACCTTTCGGAGGACATGCTTGTTCTATTGGTCCTGCTCTCTCTTCCTAGTTGTTCAATAGTAATTTGGGGGTAGATGATAACCGAGCTACCTGGACTCGAGTCGTTTTCTAAGGCAGGCTATTCGAAGCTTAAGGGGACATCGGTGTGTCTATCGGTGTGTCGTCAGGAGGAAGAGAAGAAGAACCGGGATCCTCAGCACGAGAATCCGTAAGAGAGTCGAGGCCCACGGCCTGAGAGTCCATAAAAGTCGAGAGTCGAGCATCGAGAGTAGTAATGCTGGAACACGCCGGCGAGGCGGTCCATCCCACGGATCGATTTCGGATACCAAACACGTACATACGTGATTTCGTATTATCCTAGGCATGCTCCTAAAGGATGAACATAGAAATACCTATCTTCGAGGCTTTGATTCGATCTGAGAAATCTTCTAATCTGTATCCCAACCGCGTTTGGATGCCGGATGGATGACGATCTACCAAACGGTTGCCACGTGTGGACTGCTCTCGTCTTTCTCGTCACACTCTCCACAATGGTGGTTGGAGTGTCTCACGAATGCCTAGGGTTTTGAGAACATGGGAAATCCTCTCCTTTTAGAGAGGTATTTTGGGACAGATTAGGGATATCTTAGAAGGTATAGGGTTTGGGCTCCATACAGGCCCAAATTCTTATGTTCAGCTCAAAACACAATTTGGCCCATAAATATTAATACATTTCACTAGAGAAGTAATATTGCACTCCCGTCTTATCCCGAAATGAATTGTTCTAATGGACTCTTTATTGGCTTCTAGGCACCTCTTTGAGATGAACGAATGAGCCGCCCCAGTGTCAAACAGGACTCGACGTACGATCCTCACTCTCGTTTCTTTTAAACTTTGTGTCCTCCTTCTTTGACTAATAGAGGTCACCTCTATAGTTAGAACTTAACTCGAGACTTACTTGCTCAAACAATGGAATGTCTACTGTCTCACTTACGTATTGATATCAATCGGCTTCAAGCCTCTAAGCAGATTTGAACTACTGACTTCTTCTTTCATGCCTCCATAACCTACCTAGCTGATTAGATATAACATGCTGTTATCCTGATTAGGATTTTTACGTCCTTACTAGGGTTCACAAATCTCAACTTAGCTTGGCTAGAGTTCTGACTCAAACTAGAAGTCTTGGACTAAACTTTTTTTAGAGTTTTAACTAAAGTTCTCAATTCCTTATCTGAGGATAGGTCCTAAGCCCCTTAAGTTTTTATGATGTACTAAGTATGCACTTGCTATAATAGGAACTTACCTTGGTGACTTACCTCAAAGTCGGCGCAGTGTGAGCGTGGTGTGGTCATAACAAGTACTCAGAACTGCTAACTAGGCTCTGATACCAAACTGTAACACCCCGTCTACTAACTACTAGACTTATGAAAATGAGAGTAATATTTTCCTTTATATTTTCGAAAACACTTAATTAGTTCTCAAAAACACTTTAACTTTCTCGTGTGATGCCACCTTACTTGCTTACTTACTTACTTTATTTTCTGTTCTTACTTACTTACTCACTTACCTATTTTCTTTTCTCTTTCTTTTCCCAGACAAGATAATCAAAATGCATGTATCCAAATGAAACCACTAATGGGTTAAGGTACTATGGTAATACTAGAAAAATAAACATGCATAGGTCTTGTCTCAAGTCTGATAAATGCGGAAGCTAAAAACATAGTTTGCCGAACATGTTCAAAACTGAATACAACATAATTGTTTCTCAACAGATCTACTAGCTTGGACCACAACCACTGCCGCTCACGCTCTGCGCTGGAATCCATTACTTAAAAAAAATAGATAGTGGGGGCGTGAGAAAAAATCCACGTGCTCCGCAAAGACTAGCACTAATTACACATCTAATATAATATCACCCCATGAAATAAGCATATACGTAAGTAAAATTGGCTACTACTACTATTTCCACCACATTCAATATTATCACGCATCATGTAATAACACATCATGTAATAGCTCATCACACATCAGGTAATAAGCATGTAAATAAGTAAAACTGGCTACTGCCAAACTGAACTGATTCTTAACTCCCGGACGCTGGTCGGTCATGTGCACACTTTGGGGGATCATTTAGGCACGAAAGGCCTCTCTCGAAGGTGATAACTAACTAAAGGAAATTACTCTTAGGTGACCTATTATGTAGGTCATTGCCCTTGCTCGGGAAAAAACTCTTACATACATGCCTCAGACATGGAAGAGCGATTATAGAAAATGTAGCACCTAGTACGGGGTCCCCACCTGTTATGCTGATAATGCAAGTGTTGAAACGATGTGGATGTAGCTAGCGGAGGCTTGAATCTCCTTAAGCTACAAAATATTAAGAAAATATTTCTAAGTCTTTTGCTTAACATATAATACTTGTTCTTTACCTTTCTTAATTTATTAATTGTCTTAATTAATAAATTTTTATCTCTTCTTTACTTAGTTGCTTAACTTGCTCGGCTTTCTTTATATTCCTCTTACCTTCTTAACTTAATTTCTTAACGGTTTGTCGAACATATATAATTAACGTGCTAAGCTAATTTATTTCTATCTTGAGTTGTCTAGGGTTCTCAGAAAAATTTTCTAAGTCCAGAACTACTTTTCAAACTTAACTTGATCTAACTCGGTTCGAAAAAATGCTGAAGTCCAGATGTTTGCTCGGACTGGAAAATCTCGAACAGGAATTTTTTGAACCGCTCCGCGACTGGCCCTGACCTGTTTGGTGACTGGACTGGCAACTCGCTAGTGGACCAGCAGGTCGCTTGCTGGCTCGGTGCAGCCAGGCTCGGCCGCGCAGGGTCAGTTTGGCGCGGTAGCTCTCGGTACGTGTAGACCCCGCTGGGCGCGGGCCTCGCTGGTGCACGCGCGCGCGGCTTCTGGGCGTGCTGCTGCCTCGGGAGATAACTCACTCTCAAGTGTTGGCAGGCGACAGAGAGTGCCGCGAGTGACTGGCGCATGGGCGCGCTCAGACTGCGGTTGATAGGGCACTCGGGCACGGAGCATGACGCAGGGGCACGGCTGGCAGGGCGCAAGGGCGCTAGGAAGAGCGCAGGGGCGCTTCGCGGTCGGTCTCGGTGCAGGGGCATGCCCTCTGCCTCGGTGACGGTTCGGCTACAATAGGGGCACGCGCTGTGTTGCATGCGTTGTGGATGGCGTTGGCGTACACGCGGACAGAGACGTAAACACTCACGCAGCGATGCGCTTGCCGGGACGAGTGAGCAAGTGTGCTTTGCAGGCGCATATTAGGTGTGCGCTGCTCTGTGCCTGCGAGGAACGCTGGCCTCAGTGACGCGCACCGCTGGGCGTGCGGTGGCGTGATATGGTGCAACTGCGGCCTTGGC